CATAGAGAAACAATAATGTACAGTATGTGGAAAATAATGTGTTTTTTGAACCTTAAACCGCATAAACACATTTCATTACACCAATTACACAAAATAATGTTATTTTTAGCAGCATCATATGACCCCTTTAATGGAACCACTGATGCCAATAAATAACTATTATTTTTAAAAGTGTTGTGACCTTGAAACACAGTGATTTTTTTTTCTTTTGAGAAAATAGCCTTTAAAAATTACTATTATTACTATTATTACTATTATTATTAATAGGTTAAGTAAAAAAAATGTAGTGTATGTATAATATAGTGCATATTTAACAATGCACACACAATTTCAGTGATGTGCTCTTCCCTGAAGTTTTATTTTTTTAGCTGTGGACATTGTATGACTTACTGAGGTAAATATAACTTCGGGTGATATATAGTGCTAAAACAATGACTGTGCGAATTACACCAGAGATGATATATTTCAGTAAGTTGCACTGCATTTCATCTTATTTCATGCTATAACTAGTAGTAAAGAGGAAGAGCTGATTAGTTCGCACACGCTCCATGCTCCACACTACATTAAAGCACATCAAAATGACATTTATTGCATGAAATTCATTGTAAATACAACATCATTAAACATAAACAACGAAACAGATTTTTATATACTTATAATCATGCTTTATTGCATGAAATTCATTGTAAATACAACATCATTAAACATAAACAATGAAACTGATTTTTATATACTTATAATCATGTTTCTACATATGGTCCACTGCAACTTAATTAGATTAACAACACATTTGATGGAATGCATCCCATATGTCATGACTTATGGTTAGCCTACTGATGGCAATTGTATGTTACTGAATGAATTTTTTTTGCAATGATTTCTATTAGAAATTGGGGAATCGTTGTGGGGCCCCCAATAGCTCTGGGCTCTGTATTCTGTCCCTCTTTTCTCCAATAACGATGCCTGTGTATGTAGGCCTACATTAAATGAAAATTTACATGAGAAATATTCATTAAAGGGGTCAATGATGCTTTTTTAAAGATCATTATTTGGTGTAACAGAATATGTT